AGATACAACTATCTTCCTGCAACATAAGCTACTCCAAAGTAGCTTTATGATGGGAAAAAAGTCCATGTTATTATAAACAGAGATTGGTGACCTTGTGTTTAGTAGGAAACATACAGCTACAAGTGGCAAATACTGCTTCCAAGCCAAGTTACCATATTTTTCGGAGTATAAGACACACCTTTTTTTTTAAATTTTTTAAAATTTTTATTATAGTTCAAAAAAAAAACAAAAACAAATGTATAATAGTTTTTCTATCATGGTGTAACATCACCAAAATATCCATGTATATATACACCAATAATCACAAAGTAAAAATAGAAATTATTTACATATTCTTATGTAAGAAGAATGGCCTCTGCCTCCCAGCAATTTACCTCCTTGCAGCAAACAGCAAACAGCCCATTTTAGCTTCAGCACAGCCTGATTAGCACAAGAAAAAAATCTGCTTCCCAGCAATTTACCTCCTTGCAGCAAGCAGCAAGCAGCAAACAGCCCGTTTCAGCTTCAGCACAGCCTGATTAGCACAAGCAGTTGATTGTCGGTTGGATTGGCCTCCCGACCCTCAGCTGTTTCAGGCTGCAGGAAATATGGTATTTCACGCCGCTGAAATGCGCTGAAATTCAAGCAGAAATAAACAGTTTTCTGTATTTCAGAGTTTCTTAGAAAGACTTGAACAGCCCGTGACAGCAAGATGGGCTCCACAGAACGTTTCCAACAATTTCACTGCATTCGGAATGAATTAAACAAAACCAGGAAACTGAGGTTTCCTCCCACTGTAATGATCTCTCCTAAATTCTGTGGAAGAGGACTTCATAGACGGGAAAATCAATGATGAGAAACTATGCATTTGGCTCTTGTCAAAGAATTTGGAGACTACAACATAGAATTGCTGTTCCTTGCACTTTTCCCTTGCTTTACAAAACATTTATAAGAAATTTCCCATGCTTCTTTTATTGATATAAGCTTTGATTCATTGGCCTTTCACAATTTCTGTGCAGATTGGCAAGCATACACACCAAGAAACAAAATATTTTATTTATTTATTTATTACATATTACAACTCTGAGCAGCTTCCAGTAAGCCACAAATAAATAAAAAGATCCCTGAAATAACTCATCGAAAATATCTTAGAAGTAAGCCAATATGTGCACATTTTATATTGAGATGTTAGTTGTCAATTATGAACTCTAATATGTGGCTCTAAAGGAGAGGCAGTCCCACAAATAACCTGCACTTAATGGAGGCACTTGGGGCTGGTGGGCAAATCTGAATTTTCAATAACATATTATGGTGGTTCTCAGACTTTGGTTCCAGAGTATGCTGCTATTTTGCTGAACCTCATTCTAATTCTATATTCTTGATGCCCATGATAACAGCAAACAAAAGTTGTTGTTGTTAGTTGCGAAGTCAGGTCCGACCCATCGTGACCCCATGGACTACGTTCCTCCAGGCCTTCCTGTCCTCTACCATCCTCTGGAGTCCATTTAAGCTCACGCCGACTGCTTCAGTGACTCCATCCAGCCACCTCATTCTCTGTCATCCCGTTCTTCTTTTGCCCTCAATCTTTCCCAGCATTAGGCTCTTCTCCAGTGAGTCTTTCCTTCTCATTAGGTGGCCAAAATATTTGAGTTTCATCCTCACGATCTGGCCTTCTAAAGAGCAGTCAGGGTTGATCTCCTCTAGGACTGACCGGTTTGATCGTCTTGCAGTCCAAGGGACTTGCAGGAGTCTTCTCCAGCACCAGAGTTCAAAGGTCTCAATTCTTTGGCACTCAGCCTTCCTTATGGTCCAACTTTCACAGCCATACATTGCAACTGGGAAAACCAAAGTCTTGACTATACACACTTTTGTTGGCAGGGTGATGTCTCTGCTTTTTAGTATGCTGTCTAGATTTGCCATAGCTTTCCTCCCCAGGAGCAAGCGTCTTTTAATTTCTTGGCTGCAGTCCCCATCTGCGGTGATGTTTCCTTAAATTGAAATAATTTAATTTAATTTATAATTTTCATTTTTTAAAAAAGTCCAACATATTTTCAGACAAGGAGGGCAGAGCCTAACTTTTAACTAGCTAACTAATAACCAGTATATACAAGTACTAGAGCATATAATGAAAATTGTCCTGCACTATGCCACATCAGGATGTTGGTGATCTATGAGTAAGAAAATGTACTAGAACTATGTCCCTTGAAATCTAATATTCTCTGTTCAGGGACTTGGTTTGCTTTCTACATTGGGTTATTTAATTATGCAGCTGCTAATTTAATAAACCATTTCACCAAGTTGTGACAGCTAGTTATAATATTCATTTTCTTGCATGACTAATAAGCATGAGGAAGCTTCTTGTCCCTTTTTAGAAAGATTCCATCATTTTAAAATGGGCAATTTCAGGTTTATACAAAAATTGGTTATTTAATGGAAATTGGAAATGCAGGCTGCTGGTTTTATATTCAGGTAAAGAAGGTAAAGGAGTCTCTGCGGATTTTATTCCACTAGTCATTGCCAACTATATTCAGGAGGCAAATGTAGGAGATCACCAGGCTCGGCCTAAGGGAGGGGTCAAACGTGTCATAAGTCATGAGTCCCTTAGCGTCCACAAGAGATTTAAATCCAGCACACCTTGAATGCCTCTCTTATTTTCCCCCCATTTCCCTTAACAGTCAGTTGGCCATATTCTTATAGAGAACTTAACCATGCAATAAATCTTTATACTCATTTGAACTGCCTGAATCTCCTGATTTCCCGGGCGCTTGACAGCAAGACAATTACAGAATAGGGACAACTAATCATAATGGCAAAAACTACTCCTAGTTGGTTATCTTTGACATCTTTGGTCATCTAAGATATGTATTTGTTTATGTAATAAAGAAATCAGACCTATTAGAGCAAATTTATTGTGCCAACCAGCTAGTTAGCTAGCCCTTTCCTTTTTTTCAGGATTCTCCCTTTCATTCTCATTCTCTCTGGATCTTCCTTCTAAGAATCAGATTTTTGGAGTGACTCCATCCAGTTCTGTTTAGTCTTGGTGGGGAGGGTTATTTTTAGAGTTTTCCTGTAAGCGTTTCCTATTTCTCTAAGCCATAAAGTTTTTCAGGATCCACTAATATTGATACATCTTTTGTGTGCAATTAGCGTTGGTTGGTGGATTTCTGACAGAAAATTGCAACCCCCGTGAAATTATTTCTCATATAGTTATGACCAAAGGATTGTTCTACACGTGGACTGAGACATGTTCTATTTATTTTTCAATTTTACATAGCCACTGATCTCTCTGACGTGACTGCGCGGCATACAATAAAGCAAATAGTTAAAACAGATCTTAACTAACCATGACAAAAAATTAATATAAAATATAAAGAAGAGAGAGAGAATATCACGAGAGAATGCTCCAAGATCTCATATGTAGCAGAACCATCTTGCAGGCTCCCTAAAGCTCAAGGATTCCCTAGCCTGCTAAAAAAAATAAAGATATGTTTTAAGATATTTCTGGAAAGCTACTAGCATTAGGGCTAATCTCAGTTCATGGGGAATGATGTTCCAAATAGTGGATGGCAGAAAAGGCTCATCTCGAGAGTCCCACTAGAGGGAGTTCTTTGGATGGTGAAGGAAAGGCAACAGGGTGACTACGGTATATAGAGATTATTTCCTTTCCATCACAGAATCACAGGCTGGAAGCATTTCCAAAGTAGAGTGAGCCTTGGAATTCCAGCCAGTTTACAGAGGTGAGTCATGGTAAATGTATATACAACATTTTCCTAATGAATTCAGTTTACTTTTAAAGATCTGCCATGAATCATCAATAACTTCATTATAAATGAAGCATTTTAAAACAGTTTATACTTTTATACTTTTGTTTTTTTTTACTTTAGGCATATACTAATTTCACCAGGTTTTCTATAAGAGAGGTTATATATTTCTAGAGATTTATGAGCACTTTTTAAAAAAAAAAAAATCCTGGAGCACACTGACATACAAAGAAAAAAACCATGATTAGAGAAACAAAAGGAACCAGAACCATAAAAACCAAATGATGGATTTATTTTTATTGGAGGCTGTGATTAGTATTTAAATCTCTGCGGAGGCGGCTAGATTTTAGATAGTAGGTTTTATTGTTTTAGTTTTTATATCAGGAGGCTCCAGGTCCAAGAGGAGCAGTATCTCATGAGCATTTGTAAAAGACATTTCCCAGGCAGTTTGTAAAAGAACAAACTCCCAGGCAGTTTGTTCTTGAAATATTAAAAAAAGAGCCCTGAAATTGATTTTTTTAAGGAAATCAAAAATATGGAAGTTCCTCAGACTGACAGACATTACTGACGGGATTATTTTAGGAATTATATGTTTATATTCTTTAATAATAATAGAAGCTGAATTTGGTGACGTAAGTATCTTTTGCCTCTTGTCATTAATAACATATATTATTTAGATGACCTGTAAAGGTAGAACACTGTACATTTACAATTAATGCTGATCATTTGTTGAATTTTTGAAATGGATTATTTTTGTTGCCTAACTATCTAGGTAAGTTATTTTTTTTTTCATAACCAATATTGATAAATTTGGTTTAATTACATTTCTAAGTGTGAAGAAGATACAGAGTTTGGTACGAGATGGGTGGCTATATAATTTTTTAAAATAAATAAATAAATATGAGGATTTGCAAATTTAGAATAAACTATTATTGTAGAGAAGATGAATGTGCTGTCCATTAAAGTCAATTAATTAGCAGATTTGCACTTTTACCTTTAGTGTCCAAATATGCTAACTTTAATGATACTATTAAAGGGATAAACTAATACGTTAAATTTATTCTCGCATACAAGGCAGTCCAATATATAGCTGAAGCCACATCCAAAAATTGCCTAAGACCCAGAATTTAGTATACAACCAGGCAAGTGGTAAAAATTTGTACCATAGCTATGTGTATCTATCTAAATAATCTGATTATTGTATTTTTCAGGTGTCTAATTAAGGATTTTGAAAAACGTCCATCAGTTACTCATCTTTTAGAACATCCCTTCATACGACAGGCCCATGGTAAAGATATGGCACTCCAAAAGCAGTTGAGCAACCTTATTCAGGCACAACAACAATTAGGCTCTGTGGCCAAGACAAGGTACTATCTAATTCCTCAGATTTCCTCTGGTAGAATTCAAGGGCTTCTTACTATAATGCATGCATATATTATAAATAAATGTATAAAGTGATTGAGTTTTTGTCCCACTTGAGTTCTCTGAATGATCTGTATGCAAAGCTTATGTGAGTGAAGTTGCATTGTCATCTGCACTATAAAATGAGGCTTATCCTGACTCAAGTGACATGGTGAGAAGCATCTCCGTAAACTTGGGGATGGCCCTCCCCTTCTGAAATCCATTACGGATAACTCAGTTATTAAGTATGTCCTTATCTTAGGCATGGGGGTGGGGATAGGGCAAGGAATGCAATGTGTGTTGTGACCTGCCCTTACATATTTGCCTAGAACATCAAGTTGCAAAGTTAAAAGAGCCTAGCTTTGTATACTGCTCAAAAAAATAAAGGGAACACCAGCAGAAGACATCCGAGATCTGAATGAATGAAATAGCCTTATTAAATACTTTGTTCGTTACATACAGTAGTTCTGTGTTCCCTTTAGTTGTTTGAGCAGTGTATAAACTACTGTATGTAAAGAACAAACTGTTTAATAAGGCTATTTCATTCATTCAGATCTCGGATGTCTTCTGCTTGTGTTCCCTTTATTTTTTTGAGCAGTATATTATAATGGCATTGGGAGTATTTTGTTATTTTGGTGTCATCGTGATTAAGAACACATATGTAGAATATGATTTTTCTTAGGATTGAATAAGCTATTCATGATAGTTGGTACAGCTCATACAAACAGAACATTTATACTTTTCTTATTTGTCTCCTTTAAATGCATTCAGCAATAATGGCAACTTCACATAATGGTTTTCTTAAACCGACACTCAAAGTATTCATTAATCAGTAAATGAAATGTAAACAGGATACACGTTCTTGCTTTATGACCTTTATCGTGTTAAAGTATAATAAAAAATAAAAAGTATTGGTGATGGCATATTAGAAATGTAAAAACAATATGGTTTGTTTAGTCATTGTTTGGAAAGCTGAAATTAACTTTTTAAAAACCTGTCTCACCGACATTTATATTTACATCTACATTTCTATAAAGCCTTATATTCTATATCCATTAAGAATGACTTCTTTTCCAATATAATTTGAAAGCCAGCATAGGAGGCATTCCTTGATTTTGTGGCCGTCCAGAGGGTGGCAGAATTTCACTGTTTTCGAAGTAAATTTAAATGCAAATGAGCACACACTGTTTCTGCTCAGCAGAGATTTTGCAATATGAAATTTATCTAGTGCTAGATAAGCTGTAAAGCATTATTGTAAATAAATATCTACTAATGCGGATGAAGAAAATTAAATGCCATGACTCATAAGTTATAAAAATGTGTGTGCATATTCAGGCACGATCACTTTGCTTTTTCAAAACCAAAAGCCTTAATGCAGAATTGCAAATATGCAGTAATAAATATAATTTACAAGGTGAGGCTGATCAGGAAAAATTATCCTGTAGATTTTTTCTAAAATAAGAGCCTAAATTAATATTTTCTTGTTGTTCATGTTGTTGTTTTGTTTTGCTATAAAGGTGTTATGTACACATTTTATTCCTTCTAGTAATTACTATTTCTATGGGGTTGAGGTTTTTTGTTTTGTTTTGTTACAATTCTCATAGTACGAGAATTTGGTAGCTGTAAGAAATATCTTCTGATATTCGATATAAAGTGGGATAAACCCAGTTTATACAGTATAAGCAATGGTGGGATTCAGCCAGTTCGCACCACTTCGGGAGAACCGGTTGTTAACTTTCTGAGCAGTTTGGCAAACTGGTTGTTGGAAGAAATCATTAGGGCAGAGAACTGGTTGTTAAATTACTTGAATCCCACCACTGAGTATAAGTTGATCTATTCATGTCGTAGAATGAAATTCTATCATTTTAGGTTACAGTGCAAAGGTACCACTCTTAATCTGGATATGGATTTTGACAAGCATAGTTCAACACAACTGTTGGAGTGGAGAGGGTACCAGATGAAAGCCAGGGTAGACAGCTCTTTAGAAAACCAGCCTGCTACTAACAGGGAGTTTGTAGAGACAGCATTTTATGACCATTTCAATTTGAATTTGAAAGCAAAGTGCCTGTTTGGAATTTCTCCTATACTTATATAATTTGCAGGTACCCTCTATACAGGTAGTCCTCGATTTACAACAGTTCATTTAGTGACTGTTCAAAGTTACAACGGCACTAGAAAAAGTGACTTATGACCATTTTTCACAGTTACAACCTTTGCAGCATCCTCATGATCATGTGATCAAAATTCAGATGCTTGACAACTGGTCCATATGTATGACCGTTGCAATGCCCTGGGGTCATGTGATCACTTTTTGCAATCTTCCGAGAAGCCAAGTCAGAGCCTTGGTACTACAGTGGTTTAAAGCACCCTGTTATTAACACAGCTGCCTGCAGTTACTGCAGGTTCGGATCTTACCAGGCTCAAGGTTGACTCAGCCTTCCATCCTTTCTAAGGTAGGTTAAATGAGGACCCAGTTTGTGGGGGCAATAAGCTGACTTTGTATAAATATACAAAAGTATGAAGGCTATTGCTTAACGCATTGTAAGCCGCCCCGAGTCTCCGGAGAAGGGCGGCATATAAATCAAATTAAAAAAAAAAAAAAAGTCAATGGGGAAACCAGATTCACTTAATAACCATGTTGCTAACTTAACAACTGCAGCGGTTCACTCGACGAACGTGGCAAGAAAAGTCATAAAATGAGTCAAAACTCACTCAACAAATTCTCACTTAACAACAAATTTTGGGCTCAATTGTGGTCGTAAGTCGAGGACTATCTGTAATAAACACAGAATACCTGCTGGAACACAAAAAGTTGGGCAAATAGAACTGAGGGTGGGGTTTTTTTAAAAAATATATTTTCTTTCAGAGAGCATCTGATCAAATTTCAGAGCAAAAATAGCATGCTGGAAAACTTAACTGTGAGCAAGGAAACTACCATTTTCAAGCATAACTACATTGTAATTGCTAATGATTATACTAATCCTTATTATATCTTTATCCTGCCTTTTTTATATAAGTCGAGTGGGAAAAAATACCTAATACTCTTTTGTCCTCCTATTTTCCCTACAACAACCTTGTGAGGTAGGCTCGGCTGAGAGAGAGAGAGAGAGAGAGAGAGAGAGAGAGAGAGAGAGAGAAGAGAGAGAGAGAGAGAGAGAGAGAGAGAGAGATTGGATTGGCCCAAGGTCACCCAGCCAGCTTTCATACCTAAAGTGGGACTAGAACTCATGGTGTTTTGGTTTCTAGGCCAGCACCTTCACTACATTGGCTCTCTAGAAAAAGGGTAGAAAGGGGATAATATAATCTCCTGGCATGTGAGATAAAGCAATTAAGGTTGTTGCCAGTGTTGTAATCATGGTGTTTGTAGAAAGTAGTCCAAGCAGTAGGATTCTTGCCACTGTGGTTGATCAGGCCAGATGATCATACTGAAAATGCAGCACTTTTGCTGTAATAGAGGTCACAAGCCCAATTCTTCCCACCGTTTCAAGAATTCTCATTATTTCTTTTTATGTTCTCCCCGTGACAAAAAGGAGGAATGTGGATCAGTTATTTCTATGCCTGTTTGAAAGCTGTTCTGTTAATCTTCAGAGAGAAAAGGAAATGTACGCATTGGGTGCTAGATGGGAAAACTGTGACAAGATAGTACCTTTAATGTAATAAGGAACTAATAAAATATGGCCACTTGAAAGGAACAATTGATTGGGAAGACAAGCCAGTACAAGAACAATTGTGTCCTAAATAATGAGCGTCTTTGTTATGCCTTCCAATGATTCCACTTTTGATTTTATTTTAGTTTTATTACATTTGTGATCCATTTCACTACAACACAGAATTTATCTCTCCTTTAAAGCTTTGTACCAACCACACAGACATGTACCATCAGTGACATTAGTGCATTCCACTGTATTTAATACAAGTAGTAAATGGTTCTGTTGTTTGCTGAACTAATATGTGCCAAACCAGAAGCCCCCTTGTAACATAAATAAACCAAGTGTAGATTTCCAGGTACAAGTAATGACCATGCTGATGGAGTTCAATAGCAGATGAAAAACCAACCTATGAACATCCTTGTTCTATATGTAGAAGCATAAGAAGACGAAAAGAGTGGAAGAAGAACCAATATTTGAGAAAAATATATATTGGAAGCACACGTCCTTATTATCCATCTGAATAGATCTCCAGGTATCACTACATATGGGACTGGCACTGATTAGAAGTGAACCAAGTTCTTCCCCCCCCCTTTTTTGGAACACAGATTTGCATAAGTATTGATTTGAACAAATATTTTTTAGTTTTTCCAACCTAATGGAATATTAGAAATAAATTATGTAAGGGAACCTCAGACTCTATTGTCAGTGGGTAATTCTATAAAAGTATAACAGAGCTGAGGCAATTTTAATCGGTGAGAGAAGCTGGGAAAAGAAAGATTCAAGTTAAATAAAAGGGCTGAATGAAGCTGGGGAGAAATTAAATCCGGGAAACAATCATCTAGTGTGAGTGGTTGATTCTATGAAAGAAGGTTGCCAACATTCCATTCTAAGTTCCCTTCTTCCCATCTCCTGGTCACATGTTCCACAATGGAGCATGCGCAGGTCATCCTTTGCTTCTCATGGACCTGTACAGTACATACTAATATCTATAGACACAAGACAAGGGGAAAGTAGAATCACATAGCCATGATTTATATACACCCATCCAGATTAGATTCTGACAATCACACAGCCAAGACTATATATGCCCTCATTCTAATTAGACCATCACATAATGCATGCATATCAGGGGTGGGTTCTACTTAACTTTACTACCAGTTCATAACAGGATCACATGCGCAGATTGCTTCTTCTTTTTTTTATATATATATATATATATTTAATTTTTTTTAGACAAACACACATACAAACATACAATGTATTTTCTTGGACAGAGTATTTGGCCATTTCATAAATTTAAACAATATTTAGTCATT